TTTAACACATCCTTCTGTCCTCTGTACTTCCTGCATGCTAGCATCTAGATCTAAAGGCTTGATCAGACTTGGGTTTGATAATTCAGGAAAATAAAGGTGGCATTGTGGTCTCTCATCAGAAGACATAAAATATCCTGTTGTTTCTCTCCTTATGACGTTCAGTCACTGATGCCCAATGCTTAGATCCATTTATTCACTGGAGATTACAAAATGCCAATAATCTCATTCTCTCATTTCTTCTTTTCACGCATCAGCAGAAATACTTTGAAAAGATATTTTTTCTCTCACCTGCTAATTAGCAACCCATGGCATAGACCAAATAGAGAAACACAGAATAAATGGTTGATTTTTCTCCCTTTTTAAACCAACTTTTTATGAGTTGATTCCCTTACCTCTGCAGTTTAAAAAGTTCAGTTGTTCTAATAAACTAATAAAACAAACAGATGCATAGACGCCAAAATACATCGATTTCAATCCAGAAGCCAGTATCCTTCTTCATTAAAAAATACTCAAAGGATTTCTACGGAAATCAGGGACAATAGAAGAATGTTCATTCATGGTGATAATGAACATTAGGTTTTTTTTCTCCATTCTGGAGGCACCTGTCAATGTTATTAACCAACTGTTATTAATTAGAGGTGAAAGCCTTGGGAAAGAGGAGGTAAACTTGCCACTTGTAGTACATAATATGATTGTGCTCTTGAAACATACTAGAGAATCAGCTCAAAACACCATTAAAACAACACAAGAACTTAGTGAGTGCCCACCTCAAGGCAAATGCCCACCTCATGCTCCCATGTCAGTCATTTGCCTTTGGTTGCCTTCCTCCTCTGCCCCAGGGGTGAGGAGGGAGGATGCAATCTCCTGACAAGGTGATTTCCCCTTAGTACCACTGACCCTGGGAAGGGAATGTGGGTAACGGCACCAACCTTGTCCACCGCACTCAGTACAGCCTGTGCTTATGACACAGTATATCAACCCTGAGAGCAAAACATAAAGAACCACAACACCAAATTGCAAAGAAGAGCCACATAACAGATATGAATATGAATAAATATGATTAGGAATATGTAGAGGAATAAATATATGTATAATAAATAGATACAAACATACAAACTATTAATATATAAAATACACATATTTAATAATAATATATTTATACATATTGCATAAAAAGTAGGCTTTGTTTTTAAATAAATACACTTAAGCCCTTTACTCACCAATATTTGCCATTTGGAAGGCAAACATAGCCTGGGCTATAGAGTCAAAGAGACTGGTTGCAAGTTCTAGCTCTCCAACTATGACATGGAAAAATTGTCTAATTTTAGCCTCAATTTTCTCTTCTGTGAAATGGATACAATTATTTAATAAAAGCCTACTTTAGAGGGTAGCTATGGAGGTTAAAAGAAACCCTGTATCAGTATGAACAGCATTGCCTGAAATGTGGTACAAGCTCATCAAGCTTTAGCTTATTGTTCCTTTGTCAGTGTTTAATCTAAGTTTGACCCTCTTAAAAAATAGGCAAGAAATAAACAAATAGCTACACACAAAGCCTGTGCTTCATTTAATACTGCTCTAACTCCAGAGCCAGCATTTTCTCTTTAAAATACCTTGACTTCCTGCCCCTACCCCCTGCTGCACCTGTGAGCTCTGAAATACATCACCTGCCTCAACCCTGAGACATTAATATATAGAAAATAAATTAAGCCTTCTCATTAACCATAGAAAACTAACACTTATGGCCTGGTTGTAATTTTAAAGAGAATTTAGAGATGCTAAAATTGTTCTTCATATAAAATTTTGAAAATATATTTATCAAATTATATATCAATAATAATTTCTTTCCAAATAAAAAAGCATTATATACACATTGTAAACATTTTACAAAATACAGCTAGCAAAATACTAAGCAATTCAAATCCCCCCATGTAGAAACACAAAATATTATCATTTATGCTTATCTTTCTAGACTTTTGGTGTACAAACATTTATTACTCGATTATTTTAATACAAAGCTGTATTCACAGTGCATATAATGTTTTGCAACTTTCTTTTGTCATTTCAGAGGATATCACATCTTTCTAGATTATTAAAAGTATTGTATCTTATTTAAATTGCACAGAATAGACAATAGATATGGATATGAATAAATATGATTAGGAATGTGTATAAGAATAAGTATATGTATAAACATATAGATACAAACATTACACAAAATATTAATATTATATAACATATACATATTTAATAAAATATATTTACCCATATTGCATAAAAAGTAGGTTAGTAGGTTTTGTTTTTAAATAAATCAAATTTATATACTTTTTAAAACAATTTCCTTGACATTGTAATTGAAATTCTATGCAGATTTTAAAGTGCAGAATGATTATCATTACACACACATATACATATATATATTTAAATCAGTTTAACAACTGCTTTTAGTACCTGCTGGAGAAAAGCATCATAGGTGTTATACAGATGGATAAGAAACAGATGCTGTTAGAAAATTCTCCCAGTCAACACGTAGAGAACAGATCTGGGCACAAATAATTATAATATAAGAGACATAAAATGTTAAAATGATTGTACTAAAAAACACCAGAAAGAAAGAGATCATATTCTCTAAAGGTAAAAAGGAGGAGGAGAAAGAAACCTATCACAGAGGAAATGGAATCTTCTCTAGTGTTTGTTGGATGGAGAATGGAAGGAAAAATATTTTGGCTGAGAGAAAACATGAGCAAAGACTTAGTGCAGCTATAGTCGCAGTGAGTATGCTCCCAGATGAATTTCAAATTGATTTAATTCCAAACACTGACATAATTTTCTGAACTGTGTTCACTATTAAGACATTAGGTGGCAACAATCGTTCATGGCACCTTTAAAGTTGTACTTATTGTGACAAACCCCTCATTGAAGCCAACTGAAGTTGATTTCCCTGAACACTACACACACACACACACACACACACACACACACACACACACATACACACACACACAGTCACACATGCAGAGTTGGCCCTTTATATCCATGCATTCTACATCGAAGGATTCGATCAACAATGGATTGAAAATACTCCAAAAAAATTATTACTGCAGCAAAAAAAAAGTAGTCTTCCTTTTCTTGTAATTATTCCCTAAACAATACAGTACAGCAACTATTTTCATAGCATTTCCATTGTATTAGATATTATAAGTAATCTAGAGATTATTTAAAGTATTCGGAAGCAGATGCAAAGGTTACATGAAAATACTACAACATTGTATGTAAGAGACTTGAGGAGCATCCACTGATTTTGGTATCCACGGGAGGTCCTGGAACCAATTCCCATGGACACCAAGGGACAACTGTATACATACCCACACACAAACACACACCTGTATATTTAGATAGTTTATCTTAGAATGTTTATGCATCCTTTGGAGTATATTATATATGTATTTCTTTATTTACATACATATATTATTTTCCTTTGAAACAGAGTTTGTGGTATAATAGGAAGTGATTGTACCTCTTAGTGGATCTTAGGGCGGAAAACTTACTTGGTTATGGGTGTGCTCACCCTGCCCCTGATCATAATAACTGGACTAAAATGTGCTTGCTGGAATTCTCAAGTCATCCGTAAGTCCAGAGAGTAACTAAATTCCCTATTAGACAGCCAATTTGTTGTGAGGAAAATTAAGTTATTATTGCCTCTTGAATGTCAGCTGGCAGGCTCCATCTCTGGCTAATGCCTGTAATTATACAAACAGCCTTCTGAGCACAGCCCGTATGGCAGCTGCATATGGCATTTACAGTTGTTATAATAACACAACAGCCAGCCAAGAAGCGCGGCACCTCTAACCCGCAAGTGACCTGCTAATTAGAAGCTGTGTGGGGTTAACAGAAAGAGCACCTCATATAGGGCAGTGTGTTGTGAATGTAAACACTGACCCCAGTAAACGGGAAAATGTATGCCAGGAGGAGCTTACTCATTCCCTGCCTGTGTTGGTCAAACAAATGGGGAAAACAGACACTCAACAGAAAGACCTTGTAAAATTAATATAACACTGAGAAGAGGGAATCTGGTATCCTTTCCCCACAACTGCTCCTGCATCCCCTGAATCGTAACTATAGAATTAATCTTTGGGTTTGGACATTGAAGTTAAATGTGTCTAGTCCCAAGACCCGGCTCTCCATCTTGGCTCCAACAATCTCTTCTCTCGTTCCATTGCCTTATCTCATTTATGGTTGCCCTAAAGCGCCTTTTTGTTTCCCACTCAGAAGTTTTGTTTGTTTGGCTTTCTGTGCTCAGAAGGTTGTTTGTCTAATTACACTATTATCGAGCCCCATGTTGAAAAGTATAATGCTTCCTAATATTTCTCTTTCTTCTATCCAACTCCTTTAAAATGCTGTGTATCTGTGTCTAGTTCCTTACAATCTTAATTCCAAGTTCTGCTATCGTCAAACATTCGAAAGTTGTTCTTAACAATTGCCATTTACAAAGGCACCAAACACCTTAGATGACACAAATACCTATGGATTGTGAGAACTGCTCACATGGACTCTGCTCACAGTTTATTTATTTTCTTTTTCTATTTGCCTCATTGTAGCAGTAATTTTTTCTCTTAATCTTTCTTCCTAATGAAATTAAATTTCTTTTCTCATTTCCCTTATACAACTTTTATCATTTATGTAACAAATTAGATGATGATAATGTCACGAAGTGAACAGATAACAAATTAGATGATCACTTACCAGAAAAACAAATGTTCATTGGGTACACTAGTAGATTAAACCTGCTTGGTAATAATAATTAATGGTAATAGCAATATGTATTAGGTGTATAATCTGAACACTTCACATGCACAATCTCATTCTATCCTCATAATAACTATTATGCATGTTCCATTAATAAATCATTTTATAGATTAGAGAATGGTTCTTAGAGAAATCAGTATTTGCTTACAGTCTCACAAACAGTGTAAAAGCTAGAAATCAAGTGGAACGGATCTTACTGCACAACGGAAGCTCTTCTCCACAGTCAGTTAAGAGCTCACTGCTCAAAACTCTGATCTCCTCATGGATACAGGCAGAATGATCTCCAAGGGCCCCTTCAGTCCTATAAAATATGAGGAGACATAGAAATATACAATGCAATCCTCAAAAAGCTTCCCATCTACTTATAAATTGGAAGACAAAAGCAATTTAAATCAATGTGTGTGATATTTGGTAATTCACCAGTTTTTTATTGATTTTTGAAGTCTTTTTATTTAAGAAGTAATTTGAGGCTTTCCATTCAAGGTGGCGGATCCATCACATGCCTTCCCTTCCTCTTCTCTTTTGACATTCAGGGAAATGTCCATGTAATTATGCAAGGAAATAAACCCATAGCTACATAAGGGGAATGGCTGACGCCAGGGGACAGGCAATTCCAGAAAAATTTTGGATGTCAGAGGCAGATGGGAGTGTGTAAGGAGTGAAATAGAGGACAGAACTGGGCATCTGAGCAGAAGCCTCCAGGTAAGGAGGATTCCATTGTCCAAGTGGATGCATGAGAATCCATGATTTTCATTTTTCACTTTTTAGCACCCTACTTTTTTCTTTTTTTTAACATTTATTTTATGTTCAGAGGCTTATGACATAGGTAAATTCATGTCACGGGAATGTGTTGTACAGACTATTTCATCACCCAGGTACTAAGCCTAGTACCGAAACAGTTATTTTTTTTATCCTCTCCCTCCTCCCACCCTCTACCCTCAAGTAGGCCCCTATCTGCTGTTCCCTCTTTGTGTCCATGTGTTCCCATGTGCTGATAAAAATCAGCAGCCTGGAAAAAAGAAAGGCCAGGTAAGTGAGCAGAAATAACCCAAAATAATCAGGTAAAGTAATAACGAATAAGATAGTTCTATGTCTTAGCCTCAATAAAATTTGAGAGGAAATCAATCTATTAAAAATACGATGCTGATTCACAACAGCAAAGACATGGAATCAACCCAAATGGCCATCAATGGTAGACTGGATAAAGAAAATGTGGTACATATACACCATGGAATACTATGCAAGCATAAAAAAAAACAAGATCATGTTCTTTGCAGGAACATGAAAGGAACTGGAGGCCATCATCATTAGCAAACTAATATAGGAATAGAAAAACAAATACCACATGTTTTCACAAATGAGAGCTAAATGATGTGAACACATGAACACAAAGAGGGAACAATGGGCACTCGGGCCTACCTGAGAAGCCCTTTACTTTTCATTTGGGCTTACTAGTACCTGGGTGATGAAACAGTCTGTACAGCAAACCCCCATGACTTGGATTCACCCATATAACAAACCCCTGGGCATAAAATAAAAGTTAAAAAAAGAACCAAAAACTTAACAAAAGAAAAAAAAAAGGGTGCTAAAAAGTGAAAAATAAAAATACATAAAAGAGTTATGAGAAATTAAAATTAACATTGCCAAAGTATCAGTAGAATGATTACAAGATAAAGTACCTCTCCTAAAACGTAGATCAGAATTATAGAAGTAGACAGAATGAAGAAGGCAAGTAAGAGTTAGTTGCAGGCAGTCAAACATCTTAGTAAAAGAAATAACTAGACAAGAGATCAGAAAATGGAGGCCAGGTGTTGATGGGTCAAACCTGTAATCCCAGCACTTTGGAAGGCTGAGACGGGTGGATCACATGAGGGCAGGAGCTCGAGAGCAGCCTGGCCAGCATGACGAAACCCCATCTCTACTAAAAATACAAAAATTAGCCAGGCGTGGTAATGCATGCCTGTAATCCCAGCTATTAAAGAGGCTGAGGCACAAGAATTGCTTGAACCTGGGAGGTGGAGGTTGCAGCGAGCCAAGATCACACCACTGCATTCCAGTCTGGGCAAGAAAGAAAAGAAAGAGAAGAAGAGTGGAAGGAAGGGGAGGTGAGGGGAGGGGAGGGGAGGGAATGGGAAGGGAAGAGGAGGGGAGGAAAGGAGAGAAAAGAAAAGAAAGAGAGAAGGGGAGGAAGGCAGGAAAAAGAAAAGGAAAAGGAAATGATCAAATGTGTCATAAAAGAAACTCAGGGAAAAAATAGAAAATTATTCAGTATAAAAAGAGTGTAGCGTTAAGATTAAGATAAATGACAGAAGACCACATCCAAAACATTGTCAGGAAACTTAAGAACAGCATGGATTTAACAAAATAAATAACGTCTGAAAGCTTCCAGAAGAGAAAGGGGGGTGGGGGGAATCTTATCTCTCAAAAGAAGCAACGATCTGATTTCTCATGAACACCGTTAGCTGTTAAAAGACACTGCCTTCATGGTTCTGAGGGTAATTTTTAAAACATATACCTCATGTTTTAGAACATATGTAGATGTACAGAACAATTTATAAGATAGTATACAGAGTTGCCACAAACCTGTCACTCAGCCTCCTCTGTTATTAATATTTTACAATCTTTTTGTTACATTTGTTACAATGGTACATTTATTACAAGGAATGAACCAATACCAATCATACATACTCAGATGTCCTTAGCTTCCACCCAATGTCCTTTTTCTGTTCCAGGGTCCCACCCCGTGTACCACTGGTCATGTCTTCTTAGACTACCTTTGACTGTGACAGTTTCTCAAACTTCCTTGTGTTTAATGACCTTGACAGTTTTGAGGAGTACTGGTCGGATTTTGTAAGATGTCCTTCTCTTTGAAGGTGTCTAATTTTTTTTCCTTATGGGTAGACTGAGGTTAGAGGGTTAGGGGAAGAAGATCACAAAAGTAAAACGTCATTCTCATTACTTCTTACCAAGGATAAATACTACCAATGAGACATCACTATGGATGTTGACCTTTATCATCTGGCTAGGGTGAGGTTTGTCAGGTTTTCCTGTAGTAATGTGATTTTTTCCCCCTTTTCATACTGTACTATGCATAGCCCACGTTTAAGGAATGTGGACTCATGATACACCTCCATGAAAGTAGGATATCCATATAAGTTATTTAGATTACATGATTCAGACTACAGCTGCTAAGAGATTTGCCTCTCTCCCCCATTAATCAATCATTTCTTTATATCAGTTTGGACTCACTGATATTCATTTTATAATTTGAGTTATAATCCAATATTGCTTTTTCATTTTGTCCAAATTATTCCAGCTTTGGCCATAGAAGCTCTTTCCGTTGGCTTCTGTGTACCTTTGACATAACCCCATCAATGTGTGTTGGTTGTGTTTTGGTTTCTTTTTATTTTTTTAATTTTTGGTTTTTGAGCACCTCCTTACTTTCTATCATGTCAAGTTACTCCAGGCTCATCTTATATATTTCCTGACCTGATCCTAAAATCAGCCGTATATCCAAAGAGCCTTTGCTTCTTTTATTGAAAATGGTATTCAAAAATAAGATCTGAGGAATGTGTGTTCCTTACTCCTGGGGTATTATTGCTTCCAGGCTCTCTAAGCTGACACAGAGAGGAAATATATGTGTGTATATTATTATATATTTATGCACACATCTATAAATATTTCTATAGGTAACCATCTGGGTCTACATTAAGCTAAATATGAATTAATACTGATGTCTCCAGCTATAATTCACTACCATATGGATTATTCTAGCTCCCTCCTTGCTTATCCATAAACTACCATTCCCACAGTAAAAAACCTGATTCCCACTATCTGCCATCCAGTTACTTGATTGTTCAATTCTGGTACACATATACAGTATCAGAATTGTTAACTCTACACCCATGGGAAGCAACTTTATCAACTATAGTACTTCTGTGCAGTTCCTTTTACCTTTAGAATTACAGAATCCACCCATTTTCAAAGTTACTTAGGTCTGAACTTTTCGTGTCATAAACTTCACTGGGGTTGGATTCGTTTTGTCTAATTTTCACACATCAAAGTTTACTGTAACATTCTAAGTTCTGTCAAATGCATCACGAAAATGGTATCCACCATTATAGTATCAAACTAAAGAGTTTCATTACCCTAAAAGATTATCTAGGTTTTTACCTGTTCAGTCCTTCCCACCTTCCCCCAAACATGGTAGCCACTGGTGTTTTTGCTAGTTTTCTATTTTCCAGTACGTCATAGAGTTGGAATTATGTGATATGTAGACTTTTCAGATTGCTTTTTTTCACTTAGCAATATGCATTTAAGATTCCTCAATGTGTTTTCATGGCTAGATTGTTCATTTCTTTTTAATGTTGAAATTTCCAAATATTTTGTTGTATGAATGTGCAAACATTTGTTTAGTCATTTACCTATTAAAGGACATCTGGTGTCTCCATTTTGTGGTGAAGATGAATAAAGCTGCTATAAACATCCATGTACATTGCTGAGTTGCGTAGCAAAACTATGTAACTGTAAACAAAACAAAAAACTGCTGCTCCGTCTTTCAAAGTGGCTGTATTACTATGTTTCTACCCCAGCAATGTTGTTACACATGTTTTCCAGAATTTGGTATTGTCATTTTTCAATTATACCTATTTTAATTAGTAGATAGTAGTATCTCACTATTGTTTTAGTTAGGGATCTTCTAATGACAAATAATATACATCATTTTTTTCATAAACTTGTATGTCACCATTTGCTTTGGTGAGGTATCTGTTAGGATCTTTTGCATGTTTAGTCATCAGACTTTTTGTTTTCTTACTGTTGAGTTTTATGGGATATTTGTATATTTGACACAAGTATTTTATCTGACATGTGTTGTGTAAATATTTTCTCTCATCTGTGGCTTATGTTTCATTCTCTTAACATTGTTTTTTGCCGAGCAGAAATTTTTAATTATAATAAAGTACAATTTACCATTTTGTCTTTCTTGAATTGTGCTTACTGTATCTAAAAACTCATCAAATCTAAGGATATATATATATTTCTCCTGTGTTTTCTGCTAGAAAATTTATTGTTTGCATTTTACATTTAGGCTTATGATCCATTTTGAGTTAAATTTCATGAAAGTATTAAGGTTTGTGTTTACATCCATTTTTATTTTATCTTGCCTCTCTGATATTTGGCACCATTTGTTGGAAAGCCTATCCTTTCTCCATTGAATTTCCTTTGTTACTTTTTCAAAGGTCAATTGATTATATTTTGTTGGGTTTATTTCTAGGCTCTCTATTATGTTCAATTGATCTA